TAGGGTTATGAAAGTGTTTGGCTGAGTAGATCGCATCTCAATTTGACCTTTCCAGGCTCTGAAGAAGGCGAAACCGCCGAAACGTCAGCAATTGTGTTCTAATAAATTCTATATTAACAACCTCGTGTCTGCTTATTGATGAAAAACATTGAATTATCAATTAATGCCGAGGTTAACAGAAAGTCGCTCATGGGATGCTTAATGTAGCCGAATGCATGGCTTATCTCATAGGGACTGACCAAGTCCGAGAGCTTTTATCCTTTCATACGGAGACGTTAATTTAAAAACATCTAAGAAGTTAACTCGCCTAGATTCAAAGGATTTGAAGCAGTTATCAAGGAATTTTTTGATGCCTATTCGAAAATGTATGTCCAAGTTGTGAATGAGAAGGTGGTTCAGAAGCATTTGGAGGACATCGTATTCATCAAAAAGATTTAGGCGAAGTTCTTTTCTTGCTAACCTTGATTCACTAATACAGTCAGGTGCTCTTACTTCATACGGTGGTGCTCGGCGGCGAAGTATGGAGCCTAAACTACGAGTGGATCATGTCTATCTTAAATATGTCGTAACTTTTCTTGAATCTTCACGGACTCATTCGTCTTCCATGCTTTCGCAACTGTTTCAGGAATCCTTTCATGGAATTTGACGATTCAGAGTGTAACATCGATGGCGACAATTCTTCCTCTCTGAAAAATGTTCTGGTAGGAAATTGACGTTTTTCTAATGATGATAGAGTCCTTGGCTTAAAAAGTCTACTGAATAAACTTAACGATTTAACGACTTTAAGGATTTGTATTTAAGAAACCATATGTTTGAGTTATAATAACGACCATAGTTCTTTAGTGGAATCGTAACACTATTCATTTGAACACTTCACGTTATCATTTTTAACGGACCTTGATGGGCATCTCATAACCGGAACGATGTCGTTTGAATCTATGTGCCCATCCCAGATCGACGTTCGTGACGTGACCAGAGAGCGTTTTGGTCGAACCATAAACTCCGAATCACTTGTAGCAGACCTTAAAATAGGTGAACGATTTCTGAAATCGAGACAAGTTTATAAAAAACGTAAGCCAAGTAAAAAAATCGAAAAAAACGTAAAAAAAAACAAAGCCTAACAAAACAAAACAAACGTAAGTCAAGTACTCCACTAGGTACGCATAGCACGCAGAAACATAACGGAGAAGATTTTGAAGTAAAGGGTTACGATGCTCGCGCAAGAATCGAGAACACAAGCGCGCAAAACTCTAGAGGCATTCTGGATTAATTCCAAGAATCCGAAAATGAACCGCAGGGAGGAATGCCTCGTTATCAAGCGCGATATTGGACAGTATATAAACCTGTTATTCTGATGGGATGAGCACATTACGCTTCCATGTGAATTTGGTGCGGTAGGTCTTCGCGCTACATACTCAGTGGAAGACTCATAGAAAGCGGTGAGTGTGCAGAGCTATGCTAAATGTGATTGAAATCTTGGTTTAGCGTTTTCTCTGTTTGGTTATGGAGGTGTTTGGCCGAATGGATTGCTGTCAAGTTGACCCTTCCAGGCTCTGAGGAAGGCGAAATCCGCCGAAACGTCAGCTTGTGCGTAAATAAAGAAATAAAATAGCACCTCGTGCTTGCTGAACAGAAGTAGAAAGATATATTCAATCAATGCCGAGGTTAATAGAAAGTCAGACTTGCAAGACAAGTTAGTTAAGTTTTTCAGAATATGCAGTAACGCTCAAGCCAGCCAGTAGTACTATAGTCAAATTTCTTCAATCTTCACGAAACGGAAGGCTATGCAAACAGGAGGCCGAATCTGCAGAGGAGGCGCGTTTTTTCTTAATATCTGGCAGAGAAACGTCGTTACATATTCACACAGCTTCCGACTTGTGGATTTGTAGGTCGCATAGCACTCGTAGCAGTGTAAAGTGGTTCAGGATTGGAATGCGTCCAGAATGAATCCCGGTCCACAGGTGGATGTTGATTGTAGCATTCCTCTACGGAGAAACCTACCTAAATTCAGATATTCTCACTTTAAAAATTCAGATATGGATAAAAATTATGTGCCTAATTGCAAGTAAATAGCCAATCTGCCAAACTTCACTCATCTAACAAGACTATTGGTGCTAGCTGAATAATGAATCGTGAAGAACATTACTTAGAAAACTAATGATGTAATAGAAAACTAGACGATATTACTAGCGTATTGGTGATGAATCTCTAGACTGCTTCTCGTTATTCAACTCGTCTTTGCCCCGCATTTCACTCACTCTGCTATTCTTTCAAACAGAAGTCGGCCACGTGGGCCAAACTCAAGTCGCTGAGATCTTAAACTGAAGCCATCTGAATCCTGAAGACACAAGGATCATGTATCCTGTGACAGCCACCGGATTTCCATTCCACTTACAATGTCTCGAAGATATAATCGCGAATGGGCCACATTCAAAACATACTGTTTTTTATTGGCTGCTCAGTAAACATGTTCTTATCCACTTTTCTTTGGCTGATGTAGTTTATATCCGATTGGAACGAAAACTGTGTAGTGTGAGCAAAATCATGGAAAATAAGGGTTAGATGGTAGGACTCGTCGGCTCCAGTAACAGTACCTGAAGGTTTCGGTCTATGATCCAGTTACATTCAAAGTCGTCATCATCTTCTCCGAGTGGGTTCAATAGCACTTCAGCAACCTAAAAGGACAAAATAGTGTCTTATTTCTCCCTTTGCAAATCCCACATTACTTTTCAACAAGAAACACTTCGATCAACAGAAGAATAGAAAAAAGATATCCGAGTAGTAATAATGGATGACAAAGGGCTTAATGATACATAAAGATAGAGAGGACAAAACTGGAAACCTTTAGCCAACCGACGATGAAAGTGAACTGCAATATCGTCATGATGGGTACATAAATATTGATCTAAATTAAAGAAAAATGAATGCCATAACCACATAATTTAATTATTCAGTAAGGTAAGCAAAAAGTGTTCAAGCCTTTATGAATAGCAATTTTACTGGAACTTAGTGCTTACCGACTTTTTCACCGCATCTCGATCGAGATACTGACGACCAAACAGTGCCACGAGAAAATAACTGTATACGGCTAAGTGGACAACCTAAACCATCACGAACAAACAATTTTACAACCACTTGGTTCGGATTTCATTTCTTTCTAATACCTTTCCGATGAATAAATAGCATAAAAGACCTTTAGGCAAAGGTGACACTCATTACGATCACATATAAACAGTGGTGTTGTGGCTAAAACTTAGAGTCAAACGCTAATGGCCTCCCACTTAAATTAGGTAGCTCAGAAATAAATGAGCGTTTTTAAGTATATTATTTAATGTTTCACTTTCTATTTTCTGTCTACTACAGTTTTTACGCTAGGGTATCGAGCGAAATTCAACCAAAATGTTGCTGAGATATTTGCAAAACTCCGGACTGCAGATGTCTGTGGTGGGAAACGAACGCACTATTGTCCTTTCCGAGGGCTAACTCGTTCACCACCACACCATACGGTCACCCAGAATCAACACCGGTGTCAATGTGGGCTCCTAGATCAATCCCGTTGACGGATGATTGCTGGTGACACTGATCGATAGAACTAGTAGAGAGACAGGAGAAACGAAAGACACGAATAGTGTGGTGGCAACGCGTTGACACCCGAAAAGAGTGATACGCGCTCGTTCCCCACCGCACACACTTGCGGTTCGCAGTTTTGCAAATATCTCAGCAACGTTGTGGTTATATCATTTAAAACGTCATAACTTATTCAAACAAGGCCATATTAATCATTTTTTGCCAACGAGAAACAAATTTATCTGTTTCAGTTGCATAAAATTCTGGAGTACTGGAAGAGATGGATTCGTTGAAGACAATTTTTGCATCACCGTGGTTGGTGAAGCATTTCTCGCGCAGTAAGTTGTCAAGGTGCTTGAAGAAGTGATAGTCGTTAGGCGAGAGGCCTGTTGAATATGGCGTATGAAACAGTGTTTCTTAGGCTAACTCGTTCAACTTCTGCAGGTCTGGTTCCGTAACGTAAGACTGGACACTGTCGTAGAGAAGGACTGATTCTTTTCTATTCACTAATGCCTGTAGTTGTTGTTATTGGAGTTTACGGTGCAATGTATCGATTTGTTGACAATACTTCTCTGCCGTAATCGTTTCGCCTGAATTCAACAGCCTGTGAAGAATAGCCCATCTGCAGGCCACTAAACAGTCACCATAACTTTTTTTGGTGCAATTTCGACTTTGGAAAACGTTGTGGAGCCTGGTCGCAATCCAACCATCGGAAAAATTTATTTCTTGACGTAATATGAAGAGACGTCAGAAGGGACATAAAATCAGCTTTTCAATGACATAAAATATTGCAAAGTACAAGGTATATTTTATTGGCAAAAAGACATTAAAACAATAAATAATTTAGAACCCCCACTTATTTCTGAACAACCTAAAACACTAGAAGACAATTAAACCAGTGTGATTTTGTATCAACTCAGCTTCATTAAGAAAGAAATGGGTGAGTGAAGTGAAGTGAGGCGTTGGAGGCTAAGGATTAATATGTTTTAGAATTACCTGGGTATACACGAGTGGAACGGGTACCCAGTCGAACAGCACGAGTCTGACTAATTTCACACGATATGCAGCAATTTGCTGAAGAACCAAGTTATGGAAGAACAACATTTCGTGCCTTGAACTCATTTGACGACTTAATAAGTCATTTTTTCATATTTAAACTAGAAGCTCAAGATAAAGGAAGCGTTTCAGATTTTCAACTAATGAACCAATGGCACCTTTCCATCTTGAGATTGCAGTGAAATACCTATTTTTGTAATTCTACTTACTAGCTCTTTTCGTGACCTTGATTAACAACAAGAAATTCTATTTGCTAGCTAATAGCACACAGATGGGGATAACGGAGTGGTTAGTAATGGCGTGGATCGGGAAGCAAAAGGTGCTAGTTCGATCCTCCCCCAACGAACTTCTCTAATCTACGTAGCAACGCTATAGCCCTACTATCTCCACGACTGCAAGGAGAGTTGACTCGACCAGCATTATAAAGCATTTATAAAGAAGGCGATTCCTCAAGCAGCAGCTGAAACAACGAGCGAAATGTCCAGACACTACTGCGGACGGTTAATGCAAGGAAGACGGGTCGAATGCAACAGGTGCTGGGATGTGATAACGGTTATGTAACACAGTGTAAGAAAAATTAGTAGCAAAAGTGGACAATTCCGGCTTCTGTAACCTGTATCAGCAGCCGTCGCATTTGTCTTCGAGTGATATGAGCGGGTCGCAGTAAATCTTACATTCCGGTCTGTCGTGTGCAAGAGTAGCGGAGTAGGTTCTACTGGCTCTAGAGACTTGTTTAACACTTATCTTTCTTCTAGGATTTTCTTTAAAACTCTGACCATTGGACCGGTCTTCGTGTCTACCAGTACCACGTTTAACATTACGAAACATCCTGTCACTAACGGCTCTTGTCCACTGGTTGTCGTTCAGACGCTTTTCGTGCACGACCCACCTTATCCTCGACAATTTAGCGCATATATTATAGCTAGGACTCTTACATGTTGCTAAATGCTAAGCGCAATTCGTTGGGCAGGCGATTTAAAGGAACAGTTGTAGTAAAATCTTTCTCTGAACAGATGGGAATGAAAACTAAAGAGATAAAACTTTCAACGTCGAGGAATCCCTCAGACATGTGCCAGAGAGCGTGTTTTGACCTTCAAAATTACAGTCAGCAGCCTACCGGTGTATTTAGTCACTTTCTTTTATAACCAATTAGAAAAATTTCTTGGGCTTGGAGGGATAGAGTGCTCAGCTTGCTGAAGATTCAGGGAACGCACCAACGATCCTATTTTGGATTGCATAACTACTCTAAATACTGTGCTACTCGCAGCCTATGTTGCAAATAATATAATAAAACAAACTTCACAGAGAGAGACGTAGATATGTTCGCCTTTGATTCGACACTCGTCTCTTGCCAGTGTGACTAACGATAACAGCCATTGTATCGGCAACCAATATTTTGAATGAGGTGAGACAACGGCTTCGTATTCTTCAAACTCACGTTCAGTCATAAGACCTAAAACTTCTCAGCAAGCATTTTCATACTAAATCGAAAAATTATTATATGTGCACATTTACATAGATCTGTATAGCACTTTATGCCAACGGTTTACCGCCTCATCGTGGCTGGGAGATGTTCCTGGGCGCCTGGCTGCGAAGTACAGCGCGGGATTCATTCCCCCGTCAGAGTTTCCCAAGCTGAAAAGTGGTCCGGCGTTCCCATCATTAAGACTAGCTACGAGTAAACGAATACCAAAGACCACCACCGTCTTGGTATCAAACTAGTCACATGCTGGCAACTCTCCCTTTGAACCAAGTATAGCGACTGCTAGTGGTGGTGACAACCTGGAACAGACTTTGGTCTGGACGACCTCGGAACTCCACGGGAACACAGTGGTGAAACCAGCAAAACTCCGAAAAGTGGGGAACATGCTCGGCCCGTACAACCAGTGAGGAAGAGCCGTCCAAGTGTCCAAGTATCCAAGTATATAACACCTACATTCCATAATCTGTCGACCGAAGAATAACTCAAACATTCTACGCATTTTTAGCGGTGAGTGTGCAAAGCTGTGTTCAAAGTGATTGAAATCTTGGTTTGGAGTTTCTTTGTTTGGTTATGGAGGCGTCTGGCCGAGTGGATTGCTATCAACTTGACCTTTCCAGGCTCTGAAGAAGGCGAAATCCGCCGAAACGTCAGCTTAATCGTGAACAAAGAATAATAACACCTCGTACTTGCTCAACAGGAGTACGAGGAGAATCACTACGTATTTTTGTTGAGCAAACGCGAGGTGTTATTATTCCTTATTCACGAATAAGCTGACGTTTCGGCGGATTTCGCCTTCCTCAGAGCCGCTTTCTATGAGGTTTCCACTAAGTATGTCACGTAGAGACCAACCGCACAGAAATCACATGGAAGTATAATGTCTATAATGTCTATAAGTCTATAAGTATATAAGTATAAGTAGGTGTGTATATGTGTCTATAAGTATAATGTCTGGTAAGTCTATAAGTACAAGTCAAACATTCTACGTTGCACTTCCTCCTCAATATAGATGAAGAATTAAATGACCGATAGAGGCGACGCGCTTACCCTGAGGGACAAGCGATCTCAGAAAATGAACCCTCTGTATCTATCGAGAAAAGGTGACTTCTAACTTCACCATATGAAAAGATGAACTCCTAATGATAACCTTGTAGAATGTATGGTCCATCCCATGGAATCACGCAGAATGTTTTGATCGGTGTAGCATGATATAATATTAGAGAATAAGAAACGAGGGCTATCAAAACCCATAAGTTTTCAATTGAAAACACCCAATTTGGCTATTTCTTTAGTTCAAATGGATGGGCTGAAAACTTTAATTATAAGTTGCCCTTGGCTTCTGGCATCGTTTTCAGACTAACGTTCACACTAATTTGATTCGCAGAATAACCGTAAGAATGTAGGGAGTGTCTATGATAGAAATTTGAAAATGCCGTAGCACGGGTGTCTGAGGATTGTGTGGTAAAACCAAGCTCAACAAGTATATAATATGTCAGTGAGGTCGCAACATGACACATACTTCAACCACAAGTTGAAATTGCGTGCGAACTTAACCAACGCAATGGATGATGACTACAATCCAACGAAATGAGTGCCGAAGATTCTGACACCTTCATCATATATAATAGAAGGCCATTGAGACAACCAGTAACTATATGACTTTCGGTTGTACTTCTTCTTTTTACAATTTCACTGCCTTGCAGCTGACAGCGCTCTCCAAACCTCCATGCTGATGAACTGAATGTCTTCCTGCAAAATATCGTCAGCACTGACTAGCTTCGTGAAAAAATCTCTCTTCTGTTCAAAAATAGTCCTGGATGGGGAAGAAAGACTTCTAGAACAATAAGCATTTCAACATCATGTGTCGTAAATTTATTAAAATCTGCATAACTTTTTTATAATAGTAGCCGAAATATTTTAAGAAAAAAGAAAATGTCGATTACTTCCGCCGAGGTTAAATGGCACTCGTTTTTTAGTAGTATTGCTGCGCTATGTGCCCCCGAAAATAACACCGACTTAAGCAGAATGAATTGCAACCGTGTAAGCAAACGAACAACAAATCGTATTAGTTGATCTGGTCTGAGAAGATTAACAACACTCCTCTGTAAAAGGGAACTGCCTAGTTAAGTTACTTTATACGACCCGTGTTCCATTCCATCAGGTCAGGCGTAGTGTGATAGCGTAACCCCACATCGCAGGGTTAAACGGCTGTGCACAATCGGCTCTGGTCTTCCCGAGTCTGAAGAGGGAGAACGTGCCGAAAGGTTGCATCAATAAAACTTTTGGCGAACCTCTTTTTAGTTTAATAATACAGAAAGCGTTACAAAGGCAAATTTCCTAAATAAAAGGTGTCTTCTGACCTGATGTTACTAGATGTCTCGGTGTTGGAAATCGAATCCGCACCGATGTTGAGATGTCACGGAAAACAAGCGCCTCCATCAGCACCAAATACCTTATACATGTGCGCCTTAGAATCTTAGATCGTTCATCTGTACCACGAATCGACATCGTAATCTGTAGTGAAGGTCTGAAAATAACGGTGTACAAAGAATAAATCGGTTTTCTCAATGTATACTCAGATACGTTTTAGAGCTATTAGATAACCTTAGCTTGTATTCTTATGTTGTAACAAGTAATAAAGGACAAGAGTGTGTGTAGCACAGTGGTAGTGATGCCAACCTCCAAGTGCATGGTGGTCGTTCGATCCCACTCCGTTCCCATCAAGCCTGTAAACCCTCTGAGATTGGAAAATTGGCACTGGACTTGTCTGCGAAAAGTTCATTCTGTGCTATTCAAGTGGGAACGTTCCAGTCCGGCTATCTCACGACTTCAGGGAGAAATCGCTCAAGCAGCATTCTAGGATATTCAGGATAGAAGGAAAATTCTCAAGCAACAACCGAAGCCACATGTGAAAACTTAGAAAACTCCTGTGGATGATAGATGTGAGGAAGCGAATCGAATACGAGAGTTGTTGCGATTCACAGAGTAGCGACGAATCACCTGTGGCATCTTTGATTTTTGATCGTTGAAGTAGATCTCGGCGCGTAAGCGATGAACATTGTGAAAGCCGGAATAAAAGAAGGATCGGAACGGAACAGCGACGAATCGGATGAAGAAGCTGAGGATGAAAGAGAGTTAAGCGCTTGACGTTAATCTTCTGTCAATATACTATGCATTCGAATTCATCAAGCATCCTTGAGCTTATCGAATGCGTATTTGGGGGGTGTAGTGGTCTTTCAATAGCCAACTGATCAAGTCAATATTTGATCTTTTCAGACAAATCTGGTACAGATTTTCTCAATCCGAAGAAATAAAGGGATTAGTTTGCTGACAATGAGGAATAGAACCAACGACGACGATGTGATGTGTGTACTTCTAATACCACTGCGCTATACGCGTTCCAGTATAAAGGCTATTGAGAAATGTCTTCCAGTGATACCAATGCAACGTTAACGAAAAATCTAAAATGGTTGAAATAAAAATCTGACAATGATAGATTTATACTAACTGATCAATCCATCCGATATTTCCAAACACTTGCCACCAACGGTTGAATACAGCTGTCACATAGAAACCAAGCATGAACGTTAGTGGAATAAAAGTGGAATGCTGGTCGAAGAAGATGCAGATATCTTCGAATATTCTGAATATATATCTATAATCAACGAATATTGAAACTCAGACAGTCACTATTATTTGTCTTGGGCGACATTCAAATATGATCTCGATCACAAGCTTGCACATGAGGAACAAAAATTAACTTGTGCTTCGATCAACTCATAGAAACTGTTACTATGGCCATTTGCCGTTCAAAAAACTTTTTCAATTAAACATGAAAGGAATGAGGGAGATCACCGGGATAGATTCTCAATATCTCCATCGTTATTCTTCATAACATAACGGACGGTGTGTATTCCACACAATCATTCGCAGCGCTCCACGTGGCCGCTATGAGCTCTATCTGGGTCATTTTCTCATAGGTGCTTTATTCCGACACGTAGGAACCTTCTCTATACTTTTTGAAATCAGTCGATAGCTTATCGAACGCAGATGTTGTGAAAAGCGTCGTCCGGAAAAGTTCTTTTCTGCACTTGGAAATAAGCAAAAACCTTTTTCTCGAGCAGCTCCGTTGACAGGTAACTTGACAGTCAATTAAATGTTGTTTCACTTCTAATCGCTTTTATGAATTGTTGTTATCGAAAGCAACATGCTTTGTGCGGGTATAAAAATTATCAAAATATATACAGCATGAGTTGTAAAGTTACTATTTAAATATTGACAGCAAGGGATTACGAGGGATTGTGGCAACACACAGTCAATGCTTGCCAGTCATGCTCATACAGCGATAGAGCCACGTTTCTTTACAATCCCATCATAGTGACAACCTTCAACATTTTTGATAATTAGGAAATTAGCGTTTATTGTCAATAAACCAGCAAGTTCGTAAAGGCTAAATATCACGCATCGCCTAAAGCGGCGAAGACGTTAGAAATCGCACGGGCTTTATGTATTACTACCACCATATTGGTTCGAAACTACGGCGTGGTTAATGCATTCGTCGAAGTTAGGAATATGCTTGATGGAGCGGTCAAATTACGCTGTTTAACAGAGGGTTTCTTTACTCCTTAGATTACCCATTTTCAAAATGCTTACTTGCTTGATACTTGAACGGCCCATCCTCACAGGTTGTGCGGGCCCCAGCATAATCTCCATTTTTCGGAGATTTGTTGGCTAAACCGTTGTGGTTTCTTGGAATCCCGAAGTCAGCCTGGCCAAAGTCTGCTCCAGGTCTTCACTACCACAGGCAGTCGCAGCACTTGTGGATTAGAGGGAGATTTGCCACCATGCGACTTTGATACCAGGACGGTGGTGGATTCTGGCAATGGTTTTACTATTAGCTAGGTTTCCTGATGGAAACGCCGGACTCCTTCTTAGCTTGGGAGACCCAGCCGAGGGATCGAATTTCTCTGCTGTGTATCGCAGCCCGACACCCAGGAACACCTTCCAGCCATAATATGGCAATAAACCGTTGGGAGGTGGGGCGGGTAGAGATACTACAGTAGTATAAAATAATATTCTTAAGACTAGCCGTCGAAAAAATAACGAGGGCCCCAGTAGTGCTGTGCGTAACACGTGAGCCCCGATAAGGATAAGGTCCAATCTGGTATGAGATCCAAGTTTTGCAAATATCGCAGCATCATTGTGGTTGCATTTCACATAACACCTTTTCATGGAAAAAAATTAATGGGCAGCAGATAAAAGCTATACATAGTGACTTCAGTCGTTTTCTCAATTTAAAACACACTCACTCTTTGTGATGTCTGATTAAAAATAAGTGATAGAGGATGCTTAGAAAACCATACAGTATACACCAGATCAACAATTCTGCCCAAACGGCCTGCCAAACAGAGCCCTGAATGAATCGAAAGTTCACAGTTAATTTTTTTCCGGTCATTATCACGATTATTAATGAAAACACGAAATATCGGTAAGATGTTTAGGATAACAGTAAAACAAAAAAAGTCGGGTTTACGGTTCCGGTCAATATTTTATGTCCTAATAGGGCACGTGTGGCACAATGGTCGGAGGCGCCCTGTAACACACAGAATCGATCTCTGCGCCCATGACCCACCAAGCCTTCCATCCTTAGGGGTCGGCAAATTGGTACCAGACTTGTCTGAGAGGATAGCATCACTAGCTCAATACGTCGGCGGGCCACCGCGAGTCATTGTAAAGGCCAGATATGCATTCAATCACATCGAAACGATGCTTGATGAAGCCGAATGCACGGCGCATCCCTCAGGGATTGATCAACGCCGAGAGCTTTATCCTTTATTATCCTTCATTATTTTAATACCAAACATTCAATGATTCTATTTGGTTGTCGTTTGTGAAAAATGACTAGGATTAAATCATCAGTGACTTTGAACCGGAAAGTTTCTTAAGACCATCCTCTTGCGTCCTCCAGTAGCTCTTTAACGCAATACTTCTATTTTCTACTAACTACAGTTTTTTAGCGCTAAGTACCAATCATAACAGCTAAGCAATTTTTTCAACTGCTCCAAGTCACTGAGATCTTTATAGTTTTAGAAGAGTAGCTTGGCTTATTCACTTCTGCCACCTTTACAACTTTTATAATGTAGCCACTGAGTTCGATCTCATGCTGGGAACTATAGTGCGTAAAATTGTAAACGAAACATAAATGCAGCTATATTTAAGACAAAATTAAACAAATATATTTTTAATCCTCAAATTCGTTTCTGAAATGGGTAGTACTTTGCTAGAAAACTAGTGCATCACATGTGATTCGCCTCGGCAACGACGAGGTGGAAGCAGAGTTGTCGCATTTTCTTTCTACGTGTAACAAAAATCATAGCTAAGCAATCACAATATCTTAAACTTTCGTTAGTTTTGTTTCTTCTTGTGATCGTTTGCCTAGTACCTTTTCAACTCCTTGAATATGAAATGATGTGGAAAACTTTGAGCTTACCTTCCATCTGAAGAGTAATCGATGAAACGTGCAAAACCTGGACGTGGCGACGTCAAACGTGTAGGTGACGGTCATTTTCTAAACAACGACCCCAACATTATGTAATACTTTATGTTACTTTAAACACAGCAATTGATCTTTTTATTAGAAGGCTGTCCATGCAGAGAAAAAAATTTTATACGCGTTTATATGGGCAAGTGTTGCGCAATAGTTAGAGCAGATGTAAATGGCCATTGATTCGACCCCACAGTCTGGTTCAATCACAACCAACCAGCTTTCTGAAACAGCAAAATTGGTACGAAACTTGTCTGAGACGATGCAGCACATGCTTGAAACATCGGTAGGCCTCTGCAAGCCATTCTATAGGCAAGATATGCATTTTATCACCTACGAATGGTGCATTCCTATGGAACTGACCAACGCTGAACGCTTCTTGCATATATATATATATATATATATATATATATATATATATATATAGATATATACATATATATATATATAAACAAAAAAAATTGATAGCATGAGCTGTTGCAAATACCTTCTAAACCCATCATCTAATACTTAATAGCAAGCTAGAAAATACATGTGTAATACATGAATAGACCACCCACACGAACAAGATCTGCAATTGTATGCGCTAAATATCAATCAATTATCAATCACTGGAGACATCGCTTGTAGATGCGCTAATAGTCGAGTGACTCGAGGGCGAGCCAGTAAATCTTCTACTTTTCCCTGTTGCGTGAAGAGTAGTCTTGCGGGTTCTGCCCTCTCAAGGGACGCCGTGACCATCGTACCTTTCTTCTAGGCATTTCGTGAAGAACTCTGACCATCGGATCTGCGATTTTCCTGCAGTACATTTGACAACCCGAGAAATCTACTCACTAATGGCTCTTATCCACCGGTTGTCATACATGCGCACTAGGTGTCCGGCCACCTTATCTTCGAATGTTTGACGCACAGGACGGCACCTTCGATTTTCGATCGTCGACGCAGGTAAGAGTTTTGGGTCTCTTCCCTTGCTTGTGTGACATTGGATACTCCCATCATCATGTTATACCTTTTTATTTTCTGTCTACTATAATTTCGCGGCAAGCTACTAAGCGAAATACAACCACAACGTTGCTGAGATACTTGCAAAACTCTGGACCGCAGGTGTGCATCAATCCCGCTGACGGGTGCTGTGGTAAAGATCGATAGAAATAGCTGAGAGACAGGCGAAACAAAGCACCCGCATGGTGTGGTGGTGAACGCGTTACTCCCCGGAAAGGACAATAGCGCGTTCGTTCCCCACCATAGACACCTGCTGTCCAGAGTTTTGCAAATATCTCAGCAACGTTGTGGTTGTAGTCCTATCATCGTTCATTCGGCTTTGCGTTCAATAACGCAGGGTGACCTTTCATCCCACGGATCTCCCTAAGATGAATGATTTCGAGCCGGTTAGTCGCCAGGTGGCGGATAGGGCGTTAATCGTGCATCAAAAGCAACCATGTGCTTGCCTGAGATGCAGGTGGATGCAGAGGATTGGCTCGCTGTTCCTACTGGGCCGACTTGTCACATACTTTCTGTATTTGCTAGGCGTATTTATCCATGAATGTGTAGGTGCTTTCTCTCTTATGCGGATTGTATTCTACGAGTCAGTTTCGCCAAAAGCCTGCAGTCAAGCGACAGGGAAGCATATAGGAGGCGGTTAGGAGTCGACTCCAACAGACAAGATCCATATCTACTCTGGAAGGGACTGGCAAACTAGCCGTGAGTGTAGCCAACCCACGTTCACAGCTCAGCAAGCTATATTTGAGGATCAAAAAGCTCAACACAGTAGAAGAAACGCGCCTCATCCACCTTACCCCGAATGAGCCCCAATTCGGCAGCGTTGGGTAAAACGAGTGCGGAGAGGCTGCTAAAATCTCAGGGCCAATGGAAGCTGCCTGGGTGACGAAGAGCTGTGGTGACGATTTGTGCCTGCATTACAGTTGCTTCCGAGCCCTCAATAGAACACTTGCTCATGCAGGAAAGAAGGATATAGCACAACGTCATCGGCCTGGCCAAAACGAGAAGCTGGCCTTTCAACGCCGTCTATGACAGCGGAAAAGAACTGTTTCTCGGAACATGCGACAGTAGAGGAGTCGGTGGAGCCGGCGTTCTGGTCAATACAAGTTTGTCCATGAACATCGATTCATTTGAACAACTTACCACGCGAATCAGACGTTTACGACTAAGAAGATGTGGATCAATATCGGTTTTGCCAAACTTCGTCGTTTACGCTTCGAAATCAAACTATGATGAAGAAGAAATCCAAGCGTTCTAGATGGACTTGGAGAAGCTCTACAGAGAAGACCATACATTCTTCAAGGGCATCATTGGAGAATTCAACGCCAAGATTGGACCAAGAAGAACGTCTGAAGAAGGTCACATTGGGACCCACGAAATGGAACGGAACGAACAGCGCGAGCGGCTGTCTGAGTCTATGATGGTGACCAAGACCATACATGACAACTCGCAACTTCAGAAGCCGGGCCCTTAACGATGGACGTGGGAGTCTTTTAATGGAAAATACCATAGCGAAATAGACCGCATAATAGTAAATAGAAGCTTTTGCCTAACCGATGTCGCTGTTGCCTCAAAATTCTACACGGGATCAGACCATCGCCCCTTCGTGTAAAATTCTATTCCTCGCGGAAAAGAGAAAAAGCCGCTAAATTCCAAAACCGAAGTCTCAGAACCACCGTAAACTGGGATTTATTCAATTCATTAGTCGGCTGTTGGGAGGATGCCGTTGTCGATAACATCGACGAAGAATGCGATCGGCTCACTCAACATCTTCACGTTAGCGCTATGAAAGCTGAGAGTTCGAAAGTCACTAAGAGACGTCTGTCTTAGAAACACTCGAGCTGATACGCCGGCGTGGAATCGCACAGGCTGCAGGCAGCCGCAAACTGGCGTCCGAATTTGGAAAGCGGTGCAGACAGGCGATAAAAGATGATCTTAAACAGAAAAAAGCAACAGTAATGGTCGAGGCTGCAGAGGCTGGGGAAAGCATTCGCAAAGCCCACTGAAGCTAAGCCAATTACAAGGCCAAGATGATTGCGCTGCGACGCGCAGACGAAATAGTTACCGCGTCCAGAAAGGCAATGGAGAAAATCACTCAAGACCACTGCCCACATCTCTTTTATAGCCACATCCACGTTCTGTCATATGAAATAAAGGAGGATGGATATGTTGTATCATGGGTTCTCCCTTCCGAAACCCGACATGCCATTTCGTTGGTGAAGAAACGAACACCACCAGGTCTGGGCAGGATAGGAACTAAACACTTGACGAACCTTTCGCCAGTCCTAGTAAACACACTGGCTCGGCTCTTCACATGTTACCTGTCTGAATGCAAGGACCCTACTCAGTGGAAGATTAACAAGACCGTATTATTGTTCAAGAAGAATGACTTACACGATATCGGCAACTATTGCCCAATCTGCATACTGTCTGTCGTCTACAAACTTTTCACTCGAGATATCCTAAAGAGGATTGACAGAACACTGGACGAATGGCAGCCATGTGAGCAAGCTGGGTTTCGAAACGGGTTTAGTACGATGGACCACGTCCACACGATAGCAAGCCTCACTGAAATACCGCGAGTGAAATATAAAAGACTGCTCCGTCTCACTTTAATCGATTTAAAAAAGACCTTTGACTCAATTAAGATAGATGCAGTCATGGAAGCCCTTGACAGTCAGGGAGTCCCTACTCGATGCACAAAGATACTTCGTGAGCTGTACAAAAATTCCTCAACAAAGATATCACCATTCTACAACGATATTAACATTGACATCAAAAGAGAGGTCACACAAGGCGATACCATCTAGCCAAAATTATTCACCGGCGCTCTCGAGAACATCATGCGAACATTGGAATGGGTCAACATGGGAGTGAAAATCGATGGTCGGCAATTAACCAACTTCGCTTTGCTGATGACATCGTCTTTATAACACCAAACATCAGCCAAGCCGAACGTATGCTTGCCCACTTTGATTAAGCCTGTTGAAAGATTGATCTTCGACTAAATCTTACAAAAACGATGCTTACGAAGAACGGATTGATTTCGTATGCGCCATTCACGCTCAACGGAACGAATATCCCGAATGCTCCTGTTATGTCTATCCAGGTCGGGAAATCAACATATGAACGACTTAGCTCTAGAGTTGAGCAAAAAAAAAACGAGCAGCTTGGGGAGCTTTCAACAGCATCGAAAATGTAGTGAAGAGAACAAAGAACACTCGACCCCGTGCCCACCTTTTCGACTCAACGGTACTTCCTGCCATAACGTATGTGTCAGAAACCTGGCCGCTTCGTAAGCACGATGAAAGGTCGCTCAGCGTTATCGAACGCGCAGTCGAAAGGACGATACTTGGAGAATCCCGTTTCACACAAGTAAGGAAGGGGATTCCCAGCTCGCACCAGCGACAACGAAAGAAGATCGAAGATGCCGTTTTATACGACAGGCAGTCATCTTAGACTAAGATAAGGTGGGCCGGACATGTAATGCGTATGAATGACAACCGATGGACAAGATCCGCTAGTGACTGGATTCCTCGAGATATCAATCGTACTGGAGGAAGACCACTGACCTGATGGTCAGAGTTCTTCACGAAGAGCCTAGAAAAAAGATATAATGCTCGACAAGTTCCTAGAGCGAGCAGAACCCGCTGGGCTACCGTTGCTCGTGGCAGGGAAAAATGGAGATTTTACTGGTGCCTGCTCGAGTCACTCGACGATTAACGGGACCACAGGTGATACAGGTGATCTTCCATCCATCTTATGCAGTGACCAGATTTCTGACTCATACGTAAGGGCATCAAGAATCGTGAAGTCGAAAAGGCTGGCACGGAAATGGTTGTTCACTGTTCTCTCCAAGATTCAATTCTTGGTTTCGTGTTTCTTCTGTTGACATTGACTATCCAGGGCTTCCATGGCTGCTTATATCTTAATTGGGTCAAAAGCCTTTTTAAATCGAAGAAAGTGAGGCAGAGAGGTCTTTTGTAATCTCGTGTTAAATCAATGAGTCATGTTGTCGTGTG